TATTTATAGTTATAAAAAAGAAATAGTGGCAAAGTTTAATCAATAAATAAAATCTTAAATAAAAATTTTGTTGAAAAAAAACATTATTATTATGAGAAATCTGATCTCAAAAACTTAAAAGATTCAAATGACTAAGAATTATTAAGTAAAGGATAATTTCAAAAAACTTATATATATTAAAAAAAAATATTTTTAAAAATATAATAAAACATAAAAAAATCCAAAAAATATTCGAATTGTCAGTTTTTCAAATTAAAAAAAATTCCAAAACACTAATAATCTTATATTTTTCAATTAACATATTTTGTTTCTTAATATTTTTTATTATTTGTTATATCTATACACTCCCAAATACAAAATTTTTTTACTCTACTTATATTCTCAATTATGAAAATATTTGTGTTTATCCTCTAAATCCATCGCTTATATCAATAGATCTACATGCCTTGAAACCATTACTTCATCTATCACCACTGAATCATTCTAACAAAAAAGGTGATAATATAATTTTACATCTATACAACTGGTTCATCCTATGCATTTCTATAATTTATATTCCATCTACTAACCTTCATACTAGGTTATGTGAATAACTATGTATACCTAAATACATCACTACTAATCTCAACTCAATCTACTAATCATTTTTCATTGTATAATCCAGCCCTAAATGTAACATTATAGATAAAATAATTTACCTTATATAAATAACCAGAATTAGTTGCTTATAAAAAGCATCTCACCTAAGAACGCTCTTATCATTTTTATAAACACCATTATAAATTACTTGCCATTTTAAAGAAAATCCTTCACTAAATATTATCGACTAGCCCTACTTCCAACCTTATTTTTCATATTCTCCTCTAACTTGATTAATATTTTCTTATATTGCATGCTTTTATCCTTATAAATATATTTCCAATTTCCTACTCTTCTATTATTTTCTTATTCACCTAATTCATGTATTTAAGCTTTACTATCAACAAATTATTTTAAATAATTGTAAAAATTATTGTTCAAATCCATCCATTATTCTTTTTTTAACCATAATAAAGTATAATCTTTTTGGAAATAAAAATTAATCATTCTTATACTAACAACTAAATTGATTAATGTTTCTTCCTTTCAGGTCGCTATCTATTTGACAATTTTTTCATCATTCTTTCCATATTCACCAATCCTTTATATATATTTTATCCATTCTAAATTTGTAAGCAATTCTAGTTTGTTTTTAATTTTTAAATTTAATTCTAAAAATAAAATTATATTCTCATCTAAGATCTATGGTTCTTATTTCTCAAAATCTTAAAATTATTTTTTAATATTGATTTTAAAAGGATAATAAAATAGATATATACCCTTAAATTTCATGATTCTTTTTTTTTTTGGATTCTGATTGAACTATAAGATTATGAATATGTATTTAATTAATTATAAATTTATTATAAATATTTCATATCAATCAGAACTTATTATATTAAAAATTTAATTTACAATTCATCTTCCTTAACTTTCAAGATATTTTTATTCCATCTCCCAAATTTTTTTCCATCTGAATATTCTCCTATAAATATCACTTGGTTTTCACTAAAAAAATAATAAAAATTGTATACTCCTCTAAATAATCTCCAAGTTCACACCATTTTCCATTCTTTAATCCATTTACATCATAAAATCCTCCAGCCCTGAATTATATTTATTAACTTCCTTTTACATAGTTATAAACTCTTGATTTGTATTATATCTGTATAAAATATCCCATTTACCAATTTTAATACCATTCTGATATTAACCATCATAAATAACTTAATAAGTTCTAAAAATTTATAATTTTAATATTAGATACTTTTAGTAATGTTTTTCTAATTCAATCCATTTCCCAATTTTATTGTCGTTTGAATAACTTCCTTCAGCTCTAATATTTAAAATATTACATTACATGATATCAAACTTTTTGTTTTATACTTCTCTAAATTATGTATTCCATTTTCCATTCTTCATATTATTTTCGTATTATCCTTCATGAATTACTTAAAAATTTCTATTAGATTTTTTCTATATATTACTTTTTAAAACAAGTATCCAATTCAGTCCACTTTCCTATTTTATTTCCTTACAAATCATAATTACCTCCAGCTCTTTAGATATAGTTATTACTAAAAACTAATAAATTACATTGTTTAAAATTTCTATTCTTATTAGTTTCTGTATTACACATCCCATCTATAAGATCTGTTTCCATTCTTATATACACCAACTTCAATTACTTAACAATCACTATCAATAAGATTTAAAAGAATACTAGTTAAAAGAGTCAGCAAATTCAATCCATTTCCCTGTTTTTACATCAGCTTAATACTCTCCTCCAATACTGAATGAGTGATATATTTAAATAATTTTTACACTAGTTCAATTTAAAATTTTTATTTTTCTTGAATTTGGCTTACCCAAAGTCCTTCCTTTTTCCCATTAATATATTCGCCTCCATCCAAAAATTATAATTATCTGAAATTTTTCTATGAAAAAGAGTAAATACTTAGAAGAACGATAATCCAGTTCTATCCATTTTCCAAATTTTTAACCCTATAGATTATAATTTCCTCCAGCACAAAAATATTGCATATAAATTTACACTAAATATTAATCTGAATTTCTATTTTGTATGGACAATATATCCCATCTTCCAACTTTCTTTCCATCTTAATATTATCCAATTAGAGTAAATTAACAGTGTCTAATATTCATCTTTATTTATTTATACTTGCTCTTAAAGAATTCATCAATTTCTATCCAATTACCAATCTATAGACCTGCATCATCATAATCTCCTCCAGCTCTATAATATAATTCTTTATACATCAATTAAAATTATGAACTCTATTTATAATATGTATCCCATCTTCCAA